GGGGGGGGGGGGGGGGGGGGTTGACGCGCTCTCTTCTTGGAAAGCTCTTGGATGCATCAGAAGATACGTAAGTTGTTTTCTGCTTCGGGCTATGATGAGGAAAACAATGACAGCCCATCCCTTGTTATTCAGCGAAATTGTCAGTGTTTGTGTTATTGCTGTTTCTGTTGCTGCTTGTTGTCAGTCACTCTCTAGTTCATTCATTTGACAGTGGCATAGCTCACTCAGTTCCGGCACAGGTTTCGGCGGCACCACGCCGGCCTCACCCGGTTTTGGCACGACCGCACCTTCGCTGCAAATGACAGCACACTGGTGGCCATGGTAAGCCCAGCAAGGATACCAAACGAAACTCTAAACCGTTGCTCCTCGACCCCTTCTCAGTGAGTCCAAAAGAAGCCCAGCTAGAAGCTCAGGGGCGGTCGCTCAACATGACCATCGCCTCGGAGGCGCAGAAGTTGCCAACGAAAGGATCAGGGCAGTCAGAGCACGAGAACACCTCACCCATCGGGCTTCCATCTCTTTCTGTGGTTATTAGAAGGCTTCTAGAAACTCAGTCCTGCAAGGCACTTTCTGTCTGGAAAATACCCCTAAACCCTAAATCCTCTAGGCAAGTCCGAGTGTGAGTGCTGAAACCCTAAACCCTGGGTTGCGGTTTAGGGTCTCAGGGGTTCGGGGGTTAGGAACGTGTAGGGGCTGAGGAATTGCAGCCCCTCTGTTTCGGACGCCGGCGGATTTCGGGTTTCGGAAGGCAAGGTTCCTTCCTCTGCTTTGCTACCACCTGAGTAACTTCTTGACAGTGTGCTCTCCAAGAAACTTGTTCTAACGATTTCGGCCCCGATTAGAACCCCTGAAACTCCAACTGGTCTTAAAGCTCTCTTCTTGGACCCCCGAGCTCTCCTCACCCTTTGAAAGGATCGTGCTTTACAAACATTTTTAGAGCCCCAAACCCCGATCGCCTAAAGCCCTGATGCCCGACGACGTCACACCCACGGCCCTGCATTTTTTCCCTAAAGACGCCTTTGACACTTGTCAGAGCCTCCAGAGCTGCCATGTCCTGTTTCAGGGCGGAATGGGGCCGACGAGCCCCAAGGAGGGCCCGCCGACCACGAGCCTTCCGCCTCTAACTCCGGCCAAGGTGCTCTCAAGGGCTGAAGATAGGGTTTGGGCTACAGCTGCATCTGGGGGACGTGATCATCGTAGCAGGTTCTCCTCATCATGGCCTTCATCATGTTGGCACTGACTTCAAAGAAATCAGTACAGGAGCAGAGCAGCAGTCGCCAGAGTAAGACCGATTGCCAGAAGCGACGCAGTGGTATTCATGCGACGACCTGACGAGCGTAAGGATGACAAAGCTGATGATGCTGTTGATAGCTGTAAAGATCTTCAGTGATTCTAAAGGCTCTCCCCTTGCACCCTCAAAAGAAGCACCTGAGCACCCCTCCCCCACTACCCCGAGCTTGCCAGTCACTCAGCTTGGAGGTTCAGCCTCCAGTGCATGACGAGGAGCCTGCATGGGCCGCGGCCAAACCAGATGTATTCGTATCACCACGACGACAACCACTAACACCCTAGCACCACACATTACGCCAACGCTCACTGTCATCATGGCAAATTAAGGCTGCACGATGCTCTGAAGTCTGGCAGTGCCTCACCAATATCCGAAATCTTGCCGCGGTAGCAGACTTTTTTGGGGCTGAGGGTTCTTCACGTCGAGCACACGAAATATTCCCGAGAATCCAGCATCCCCCAAGGCTCAACATGTACTTGAGCCTTGCGACCTGTAGTAGCTTTCCAGAAAAGCAAAGACCCCCCAAACTTAAGCTTGGTGCCTGCAAGGAGCTGCACCTTGGCTGCAGAGCCATTCAGACCAAGGGGGGCCCGCGTGCTTGTTGATCATCCAAGAGTTTGACTGAAATGGGTTCGAATCAGAGGAACCGGATTTAGGTAAGTTTCCCGGGTTTGTGCTAGTAACTGCGGTCCCACAGGCGGCATAGTTCCAGGCATGCTTTTGCTCGTCTCCCTGCTTTAGCGCCAGCGTGGGTCATGTCGATTTAAGTCCTCTCATGGCAACACATGCAAAACACGGAATATCTCAGGACATTGAAGCTGCTCCAGAGAGAGCAGAACCATAGCAACGTCGAAGATGCTCGTTTCTTCGGCGAGGCTGTGCATCATCTTGTTATTGGCCTTAGTATGAACTGTTCCAATGTTACGACGATCTGCCCATTTAAGCAGGATGTATTATCAAGGTTGGGACATCAGAAACGCTGATCGTGAACATGTTGAATACTAAATGTAGAAGGACAAAGAGCATGTAAGTGAACACGTGGTTGCACCGTCCAGAACTTCAGTCAAGATCCTCGTCATCATAATCAAGACATGTCCTGCCTAGTTGCATTGCTTCTCGTGGTGGCGTGGAGTTCCCAGGATTTCTGCGAGGAGATGCAGAGCGAAGCTGTGGGATTTTGCATGTTGCCGTGCTAGGTGTTCGGATGTCTTACCTATCTAATCTCGTTCCTACTTGAAAGGTTTGTGCTGCAGAAGTATGCTTGAGAATGTTCTCAGGCGAACTTGCTTTGTGAATGCAGGTGGCCGAGTACATCGATCTTCTTCAGCTTGACGTGGCGCGGAACAAGAAATATAGGATGGATGCTGAGGACTGGGAAATGGTGCCAGTTGTCCCGGATTGTCCCTGGGTTGATGGGCTTCGACGCACGGTTCCATTTCCTCCAGACACAAACTTCCATGCTGATGCATCCGCTGATGCTGAAGTCTGCACAGTTCCTCCGTGAATTATAGGCGATAGCACGTCGGACATGCCCAACACGATAGGGCCCCCTGCATGTAGACGCAGCCGTGGGTTGCTTGTCCAGGAGCGCGAGCGCGTCGTGACCAAAGGCTGCAGACGCACGAAACTTGTTCATGCTTCGGACTCCCCCTTCTTCGTCTCGCACAATGACAACCACGAATCAAGCCTGTTGAGTTTGTAGGGTTGGCCCTGGGCAGCGCACAGGCTTCATGGAGAGGGAGATGCGCTATGCGCAGGAGATGCGAGAGCTCTATGGCAGCATTTGCCGGGCAGCACCTCGAGAAGTGATGTGTCGAAGGATTTGGGGTGAAAAGGGCTGAGCAAGCACAGCTAACTGACATCGCTGCTTCTCGTCCTAGCCAGAAAATGAGTCGTCGCCGTCGTGGTCGTAGTAGCCGCAGCGGCAGCAGCAGCAGCACACCCTGAAGCGAAAAACCCTGGGCTAGACGGCTATTGGGATGGGACACTCAAGACCCAAACCATCTACCCTAAACCATAAACTTGCAAACCTTGTATACCCCAGGCTAGCTTTGATTCTGCCTTCAGGCTGGAAAACCTTCTGGCGAGGGCGAAAGCTGAGAAGGCGAGTCCGGCTCTCCACTTGTGGATAATGATACTCTCCGATTTAAACTCTTTAGTTACAGTCCCTCTAAACCGCATAAGGCGTTCAAGGCTGATACATTGGGGACTTTAGGATGTTTGTGACTTAGAAAGCAGGGCCTGCGGTTGGGGGGGTGATGGTGGTGCTTTTTTTCGTTGATCATCAGGGCTGCTCGAGTGACAAGGTGTGAGTCAGCTGCTCCCAGGCGGCTAGGGTAGTTGAACCCGACATGTGGAGTCGTGTGCCGCGGCATTTTGGCTCAAACACAGCCCAGGCTCTGGCAAGAGCTGCACAGGGCAGTAGGTCCACCCGAAGGTTTCATGTTGACATTCCATCACAGCCCGTCTTGCCGAGAACTGTAGCCTCCTGAAACGGGCGTCCTAAACAGGACGTCTTTGAGGGGACGCCATGAACTACCTGACACGCTGCACGCAGCGTTTGGCAAGGAGCCTCCCCGGCTCTGCGGTCTCCGGAAGCCTCGCTTTGCCGGGCACCTCTGTCGGAAGCTCCGCAACTCGGCGCGCCAGAGAGGTCCTCGCTTCTTGTGCTCTGTATAGGCTTGTGAAGGCACAGGTTATACTCATCAAGCTGCGATTTCCAGGAGAGGCAGCGTCTCACGCTTTGTTCTATAGTAGCTGTTCTGATTTAGGAGCGAAGCTCAGCCAGCTAGTCTTACAAGCATTGGAAAGAGGAGTCTAGAGAAGAAGCCCGCAGCGGCCCGCTTGTCCGGACTTTTCTCTTACCGCCCGCTCGGGCCTACAGTCTGAAGACCGTGCTCACATGACGCATTGTTGAGCAAAGCTCCTCTCGAGACCTCTCCTGAACACGAACTGACATGATGCAGCTCTTTGATCGAATCTTGACATGTAAACATTCGAAACCTACTCAAACCCTAACATTCGAAACTTGCATGAAAGCCGAAATGCCATCGCCTGGTAGTCAAGGAGTGTGCACCTTGCGTGGCAACAAGCCTTTAGCCGCGAGTTTCGGAGGTTTTCGTCCCCTTAAACCTCCGGCTGAGTCCGACCGGCGACAGCTTCAACTCTGAACCCCGAAACGACAACCATCGACAAGCCAACAAAAACCCCCATAAACCCTAGAGCCGTGTAAAAAACCTCCTATGAACGCCTCAGATCGAAGCCCTTAGGACCCTTCGCACAATCCTTCAAACCCTTGATTTGTAAATTCCCAAGTGACCCTTCCGGAAATCCGATTTGCAACGACCCTCTTTGACCCTTTCGAAGGCCCTAAACCTTAAACCCCAAACCCTAAACCGTATCTCTTTTGAGGCACCGGGCTTCTTCCAGAGCCTGGGACAAATCGGCGGCCAGGTGCCTCAGAGCAGCGCCAACTTGCAGCTGAGAAGTGCCAGGGCCTGGTTCCTTGGGCCTTCTCCCTAAACCCTGGCTTTTTAAAACGTCAGAGAGAGATCAGTTGCGGTGTTAATTGGAAGTCAGGGCTCCTTGGGGACGTGATTTGATCTGTTATTAGATGTTTTTCGGCTGCAGGGTTTGATTCCTTTTGAGTTCGTGAGGGCTCCTTGGGGCATTTCTTTTCTTTTGCTTGAGAGCGCCTTCGGGTTTGGTGTCCAGGCTATCCCCGGGGCTTTATGTTTTTAACGTTTAGGGCCGGGGTTCCGGGTGGGTGGGTGGGTGGGTGATCGGTTCCTTATTACTTATACTTGGTTGTGAAGGGCTCCTTGTGGAGTCTAAGCTGTGGACACAGAGGACTTAAGGCTATCCGGGGTTAGAGGGCATCTGAGATGGGTCTCGATGCACATGAGAAGTAATTATCAAGCGGAGGGTTTGGGGCTTGCAGTTTTGGGGAGAAGAGAATGGTAGGGTGTTGGTGGATAAGAGGGTTTAAGGTTGAAAGGGGTTGTTATAAGTTATAAGTATCAGCGTCCTCGTAGCAAGAGAGACGATCAGATTCATGATCGCTGTGAAGCAGTTGTGAAGCCATCGATCTTCAGGAAGTCTTCCTTCAAGGGCTGTAAGGTCTCTGTGGATCCCGGGTTGATCCTCAGCTGATGTAGCCTGGTACATATTCTGAGCCCAGGTTCGGATTTCCGCCGAAGCTTTCGACGACGCGCTACACGGGAATCCATTGTCATCCAGGTCGACCGTGGGGCTACCCGAGTCCGACGAAGCGGCAGGGAAAGGTCCGCCGACTTCCCAACGTCCAACTGAAGCGATGCGACTTCCGCGTTTCGACCTCCAACGACGGGCAGTTCTACTTGCGGCCACCCTTTCCACCACGCATCAATCGCACCCTCGACGTCGAGGCGCCGGGCAAGGCGAAGAAGAATCCATGGCCCACAACGGTGCACAAGGATTACAAGCTCAAGTGGAAGAACATCGAATATGTCTATGTGCCACAGTTAATGCGCAAACCTTTCGGTGGCCCTCACCAGCGTTGGGCCGGACCAGTGACCCGGATTGAGCACCTCCAGAATGGCAAGACAAAGTCCGAACTTGTGACACATGATGTCCGGCTCCTGAAGTGGTGATGCATTCGAAGACCATGGGAAGCGAAGGAAAAAGGAGACCGAAGGGCGCAGTGACAGTTACGTTGCTGCCCTCTGCTCTGCCAGAGCATGTAACAGTCCGGCCCATCCTGTCAGTCTGCACAGGACGAGATTCTTCACGATGCAGATTATGTGCAGCACGAGATCGACAAAGTTCGTGCAGAGAAGTTCCATGCCTGCAAGACCAAGCGATAGCCCATACATCCCTTAGAATTCGAGATGCGGACAAACTGCGCTCAGAGGCACGTGCTCGCGATAAACCCGAAATGAGTGTGGATCGATCAGGCAGATGCCCAAGCCACGGAAGCAAAGTTTCGCGTGAGTGATGTTCGGATCATTCTGGTTGGCTTTCAGGTCCTGACTGCAATGGGCTATGGAATTAGACGTATCGTATACTAAAACGGAGCCCCCAAGGTCTAAGACCGTCGATGACCGCAACAAGATGGAGGAAATCGCGCAGGCCACAGCAGAGCCTCGGATACATCGCAGGTCCCCCGCTTGAGAGAAAGTCCGAAATTTCGGGAGCTTTCAATCAAGTTGCTCGGTTTTGCAAGCCGAACGTTTGTCATGGAGAATCCAAAGAGCCGATGCGGTAGTTGGACCCAATCACGGGACGGGAAGGGAGAGAGAGAGAGAGAGAGAGAGAGAGAGAGAGAGGACTTAGCAAGTCCGTGCACCTCACCCTGCTAAATTCTGGTACACCCGAAGCCCTTTCGAGGGGAAGAGCCGTACATGAAATCCTGGCAACTTGTGGCAGCCCAAAAAAAGAATAGCTTCGCTTTTTGAGGATCGGCTCCGTGCCGACATTCGCGATGCCTTGACAATGAAGGCCGACTTGGCCCCTTGGCACCCAAGGGATTAGGGTACCTTATTTTGGGGTCCTTATAATAAGGATCCTACTATTCAAGGTAATATATTAGGGTCCCACATTTTTGGGATTGTCAATGGTGTCAACCGGTACTAACATTGAGGAACCATTGGGTTTTGGGTGCTGGTTTGGGGATGGCGTATCTCGGCTTGCTTCGAAGGGTGTGGTCAGGATTGGTTCAAGGCACTGCAGTTGGCCGGATGCTGTTGTTGAAGAGAGGGCTTCAAAAACTGTTGCTGTGCTTCTCCTTGGACCTGGCAGTGTTGGCCGACAAGTGCCCAATCTGACGAGCATGGCGGCGTTGCTGGGAAACTCCGAGCAACCCCAAACTAAACCTCGTATGAGCCTTTTTGCGAGCCTCTTACTAGATTGCGAGTAGCGTTACAAGTAGCCCTAAGTTTAACCATCGTATCGATCCCAATCACGGGACTTCGGCAGTCTGTGTCGCGTTCGGACTTGAGTATGTCAGCTGCAGAAGCACAGCCAAGGAGACTCAGATCTACAAGACGAAGAGGCAGGACACGCATACCATAGATATGCAAAATCATGCATTCATTCCGTCATGCATTCGTTCATGCACACATACAAACATGCGTGCATACATAGGCACGAACATACATGCGAATTCGTTGGGTTACTTGTGTATGTGTGTGGGTTGGGGGGGAACGGGGAGTTGTTTGCCCTTAGTGGGGTGCCGTTGGGGTTGAGGAGTCTCTGTTGGAGTTCGTGGAAATTCCCAAACTTCAAGTCCTACGCCCGAAAGGCCGCTAAGTCACTACGTCCTAAAACCTAAACCTCTCAACCTGAAGTCCTGGCTTCTGCGACTTGTCTCCGAGGCGACAGCAAGAGCAGGAGGAGGAGAACGCCCGGCTCAGGACAATGTCTATGTACTGCAGCGTTCGCTGTCTACGGTGTGTTGGGGGCCGTAAGCACCAATGTCGACAGACCGTGTTATGTCCCCAGTTAGCTTACTAGTATCACGGGTTTGCTCAAGCATCTCTAGCTTCACAGCCAAAGGAATATCCGATAGCTTGCCCTTTGGAACCCTTGCCGCCCTTTAGAGCTGCGCGAGATTCCCGCTGAAGTTGTGTGACAGCGCAGGAGGGCCGGCCATTCAATTGGCACTCGTAGGAGCGCAAGAGTTCACGCATATCCGCATATCTACTTCCTTTTTCGGCTCCAGGTTGTATTTTCTGTACATTTTGGTATAGAGCTTGTTCCCACAGCGATGATCGCTGAACCAGAATCTCAAGACTCGACTTGGCAAACCAAGAAAGCCCAAAGCTTGCACAGCCTCAAATGCTCCACTTGTACGTTGTACCCC